ATATGTGTTATTTCTTTATTTTAAAAATTCCTCTTATCCCAGTCTTAATCGGGGGAAAAAAGTATTATTTAACGTATAACTAATTATAATTAACTGAGATGTCAAAGGAACATTATTGAAGTTGCTTTTTTAATAAGATTATAAACGACTTCTCGAACTCAATAATCGTCTCGCTGACGCGCACAATGAACTGTAATGAAGTGTCGTCAACTAAACATGCAATTTACATACGAAAAATCTTCACTATAGTTTGACGTCTTTTGTGGAAAATTATAATGTCATTCATTCTATTTCTCTAAAAAGATAATTATCTCGATAATCAAATATAAAAATTGATATTTTATATATATTATTATCGATAATTGCAATTGTTTAGCAATTGTTTAGCAATTGTCTAACAATTGCTTAACAATTGTTATTAAAAATTGTTATTTACAATAGTTATTAATAATTTTATAAACAATTTTTGAGGAACTTATTTTTAGAGTTTAGGACATTTATTTTTTCGTATTCAGATTAAAAATAATTTATGCTCGTGTGTTTGAAAGGTAAAAAAAATTTTTCAATGATTATTTGAATTGCGTAACGTAAAAAAATGTGTCTCAATTACAGTTTGCATTTTCATGGCCGTTGCACTTTTTTTTTTTTGATGAAAATCTCTCAATAGGAGAATTTTGTTTGTAATGGCAGCGTGTTGTTGCAACGTATAATCTGCTCGTGCAGGAAAAGGCTTCAGGGTTTTTTTTCCCTCACTTAGACAACACAACACAACACAGATACTGGTTAAGCATAATGAGAAGTGTGTCTATTAATAAGAGAGCTACCATTAGTCAACCCTACGAGATACACGAGCAGATACCTTTTATTAGAACATTGCTCGTTGTTCCATCAAGTTAGGTGGGGGCTTTTTGACTGATAGCGCTCGATAATTATTAGTTCTCATTTTCTATCCTCATTATTTATATATATATATATTACATACAACATATTCTAATCTCTATTTTTCATTTCTTCTTTCCCGTAAAAGGTCATCGACTTTATGCGCAGTTTTTTTAAAAAAGTTTTACTCAAAATTCGTTTAAAATTATAATTTTTAACTTACAACTTTTCTTTTTTTTTATTAAATCAAATCTGCATTTTTCCAATCATTCCTCACAGGAAACTATTTTTGATAATGAAAATATTCCACTTTTGCAAAGAGTGCGCGTAATAAAAATCTTGTATATGACGCGTAAATACATCATAAATTCATAAGGTAAAATCTTTGAGACTTCTCTAATCTCTAGATCCGGTATTATAGTTGTAAATAAAACAGAAACAGACCCAGTTAATTTATATTTATTGAAATAAAATTTCTATCCTGACCAAGGTGTCTAATATTTTCGTTCAACAAAATTCCCGGCTTTGTCCTAATTTTTCCGGTTTTATTCTTCTCATCAAATTTAAATTTATTTGATTTTGAACATTTATATGTTCAAAATTTATTTATTTATATAAATCTAACAAATGGCTTCGAAAATTTTAAATAGAGTTTTTATGATTAATTAAATTCTTACAAGTTTCTTTAAATTATTTGAAAATAATGTATTTTTTTAAAAATTTTAATTCAAAATTTGAAAAATAATTGAATTAAAGAAAGAAATTTTTCAATTTTTTAAAATAATCTTGTCTGTTCATAATTAAAATTGAAAATTTGATTAGTTGAATTTTATTAAAATGTAGGTATTGATACTAATTGAATTTCTGATAAAAATTTTACTATTTTAATTTATAAAAGTAATTGAATCCTTCCAAAGAATTTTATTACATATTTATGAAAATAATTGAATGTTTGCGTAGAATTTTATTAAAAGTTTTGAAAATTATTGAATTGTGGAGAACAGTTTAATTATTTATAAAAATAATTGAAATTTTGAGGAGAATAATTTAAAAAAAAATTTTAAACATAATTGAATTTCTATCATTGCTAAGAACTTCAGTCATAGATACTGATAACATTTCTATCGAACATGTTTTTGTTAAATTTAGTTATAAGTCTATTCTTTACATTATTGGCACTTTTTATATTTCGCCTAATTCGAACTTATCAATTTATCAATCTGTTTGCGACATTCTCGTTAAAATATCTTTTTTTTATATCCGTCAGCGAAAATTATTGTTTAATAGAGTAAATTTTTATGGTGTTTCGTTTAACGCGTTTCTTAGAGAACTGCGTAAACAGATTTTCGATCAAATCAATTATTTCTAAAAATTCACGATATACCTAATGATTTTAATATTCAATTATAATCTAAAATTTTTACGAGAATTCAATTATTTAAATAGAAAAATAAATAATTTATTGAATAATTGAATGTTTCTTAAAATTGAATTCTTATAAAGAATTTTATCAACAAATTTTTAAATAATTAAATTCTTTCGACGAATTTTAATAAAATTTTTAAGAATAATTATATTTTTCGAGGAATTCGATTAAAATTGTACGAAAAATAATTGAAATTCTGGGATGAGTTTTATAATTTATGAAAATAATTGAATTATTGTGAAGAAATTTCTAAAAAATTTGTAAATAATAGAATTCCTGTGAAATTTTTATTATTTATGAAAATTATTAAATGTTTGTGTAGAATTTTAATAAAAATTTTTTTAAATAATTGAATTCTTTTGAAAAATTTTATTAAAACAGTAGATATTGAAAATCATTGAAATTTTACCAAGAATTGTATTAAAAGTTTTGATAATAATTTAATTTCAGAGAAGAATTTTGTAATTTATAAAGAGAATTGAAATTTTGACTAGAATTTAAAAAAATTTTTAAATATATAATTGAATGTCTGCAAAAAGAATTTTATAATTGAATTTTTGCAATCATTTGAAACTTCTCCAAAATTCAAATTTTTTTATGATTTTTTTAAACTAAAATTCCTCTATAAAGTTATTATTTTTAATAATTAATTAAATATATATATTAAAACATTTTTTACTTCTCTCAGAATAATTTAAATTATGAAAATTTTTGCAAAAATTTAAGTTCTTTAAAATTTCTAATTAAATTCATTGAAAATTGAAATTTTATAAAATTTGAAATTATAATCTTTTAAAGTTCATCTATTTATGAAAATTTTAATTCGAACTCTTTTAAAATTTAATAAAGTTTGAAATATTTAAAAGTAAAACTATTCATTAGGTAAATAATTTCTAAGTAATATAATTTTATGATAGTTCTTCAAGAATTAAGTTATTTTAAAAGAAATTATTGTCAGAAATGGAAAAAATTGAAGGTTTTGTTTTAGAATTTTTATTATTCTAGAAAAAACTATTAATAATAATAATATTTTAATTATTTGAATGTTAATTAATTAGTTTTCTAGAGGTGTGCATTCTGTTGAATGCTATAGTTATTTTTGGATAAAAATCGATTTTATATGTGGTATTTATTTTGTTGCAATTAAATTTAAAAGAAAAGACGCAATTTTTGAAAATAAGTCGACAAAGTTGCATTTTTTGAAAACAGTCGGAAAAAATGATAATATCCAAAGTCTGATATTATTAAAAAAAAACAAGTAATTAAATAGTTAAGAATTTTAAATATTTAATTTAAGTAAAAAAAAAATTCACTCGATAAACTATCGAGAAATAAATAATAGACAAACAGAAAGAAAGAGATTTAATTCAAAGTATAGTTAATAGGTTTCATGACTGCGAGTTACGATAAAAAGGGGGGCACGAAATGTGAGCGCCGCTTGATAAAGTGAGACACATAAACAGAAACAGAGCACGTGGAGTACACGCGAACTTCTTGAATTGCTTAATACAGTCGCTTTTAAAGCAATATTACATCTGCAAACCCACAAGATAATACAGTTCAGAGCGCATATATGTATACATACAATAGTGCTTTGGTATCTCTTGATGGATCTAAAAAAAAATTTAATAACCATCCACTATTTACGATTTTCTCTTTATCCGTTATTTATAAAATAATATTCAAATTTTTTAAAGAAACATCAAAAGATAACTTATTTTCAATTAAAATTTTAAATGTTAAATACAATATTTTACAATAAAGTAAAAAAGTGCAACTTATTTTGATTTTTATAATGCAAAAAATAACTATAACAATTCTTTCAAAAAATTGTTTTTGAATAGTTAAAATTTTGTGAAATTTAATTGAAAATAATTCATTTCTTTCAAGTATTTTGTTACAATTTTTGAAAATCAACTTTTCAAGAATTTTAATTGCAAATTTTGAAAAAAATAGAATTATCAAAAATTTTAATAAAAAAATCTAGAAATGTAAATTTAAAAATGAAAATAAGCTCCTAAATCTTTTAATATTCAATATTTTTAATATTTTCAATTACACATTTCCAAAAATAATAACATTTTAGAATTATTTTTAACATTTTGGAGAAAACAATAATGTTTAATGGTCAAAATTTTAAATTAAAATTCATCAAAAAATTCATTCATTACATAAACTAAAATTTAACAAATATTTCTTATTGACAAAAAATTGGGGTGTAATTTTTATTCAAATTGCAATTTTTTATTATGTTTAAATTTAAATTCACAATTTTCTTAAAAATATCAAATTGGATCAAACTGATACGAAAAGTTTGGCTCAATTCTCAATAAGAAATATTTGTTAAATTTTAGGTTATAACAAAAATTTTGGCTTAAACCTAATTCCCATAATCCCCGCTAGGCGTCCAATTTGTCGTTTTTTGTCGATAACGATCATTTTAAAATAAGCAAATTCTATTTAAAGTACTTCGATAAACTAAACATTTGTTTGTTATGATAAGAATTCTAAAATATTAACTATATCAATATTAAAAAAAAACATTAAATGAAGCAAAAGTATTATTTACTTTTCTATAAATGGCGAATTAAAACAATCAAATGTTTAATTTAGTGTATTATTAAAAAAAAATTGTGATTAAGAAAATCTAAGAATATTGGTAGAGTGAAAAACAAATAATTATGAAATCACTTACCGTTGAGACCATATTTTTCTTGATTTCTTTTCACCTGATCTGGTGCTAATCCTTTCTCAGAATCAACACCAAAAAAATTCACCACCTCGTCCACATTTTTACAGTGGGCGTCCTCCATTATTGCTTTTCTTTAACTTTGTGACCAGTCTTGTTAATGTTTATGTACGTTCATTCACCCAAATAATTTCTGAAACAAAAAAAATTTTATTAGGTAGTAAACAATCGTCTTTTTTAAAAAAAAAATGTATGAATAAAGAAAAATTCTTTAATTTTATTTTTTTTTGATTTAAAAAAACGAATTCGTTAAAAAAAATGAGGGAATTTTTGTAAAACTGTCTTAAATAATTTTCTGTTTTTCTTTCAGTGAAAATATAAATTATTAAACAGACGAGACAATGAACTTGGCATTTCGGTAGGTTAGGGAATCATGACAAAGTAAATGTATCTCACATTAAAGATAAAAGTTGTTATAAAGCCACGCCACGAAGGATGAATCTATTTTCGAACCTAACCTCACTTCCCCCTTTTGATAATCTTCCGTGTACTCGAATCTCTTACTATATATAACGAAACTAAAGTAAACAAAACATAAAAATTCATCTACAGTAATTTCACAAATTAACACCTCAAAATCGAAAAGAGTTATAAATTTCATAAAGAGAAAAATTTAAAAACCTTGTCAGCTGTTATTCTCAAGTCAATGTATATTTTTTAAAAAAAGAGTCAGTCCAATAAATTTAATATCCATTTTAGAAATTTCTACAATTTTTTATTCAAACTTTTTTTCAACATCTAATTATTCCAGAAAGGAATATTTTCTTTTTTTTTGGAGCAAAACACGTGTCAAAGTAGGAAAAAAAAATTTACACAAACCTATTATGTTTAGAATATCGCGCGTCCAAAGAAAATGTAAATCTTTTCAAGGAATAACGAGGAGAGACTAATAAATATCGATTACTTTCAATTGTGATAAAATCCAATTTTAAATTCAAAGACAAGAAAACTGTAAAATTAGTCTCTGTTTGCTATAAGATTATGCTGCACTACAAAGCACGACAACGATAAGTCTCACACACATTCACCACAATTAAATTCAAACTAGACACGTTTACAAAAATCATCACAAGACGCCGGTTTCACTAAAATCTAAGGTATACGTCATTTTTTCAAGCGTCGCAAACACTTAGACCGCATTATCACACAAACCAGCTTGCCTTTACTTTCAGAAAACTGACACGACACCGCACTATGAACAGCAAATCATTCCATCCCCCTCTGGAAAAATTCTCTGCGCACGTGCGCCTCCTCGCGGAACATACGACTTGTTTCGATGGCAACGCCATTTGGGTAAGTTTTTTTCATTTTAGAATTTTATTATTAATTTTAAGAATATCAATAATTTCAAATTAACAGTTAAATAAAATGAATAATTGAAATTTTGTCTTTTAAAATTTTATCAACATTATTATTGTAATTCATTATATTAAAAGAGATGTGAAATTGAAAATAAAATTTGTTTCTTTTAGGCGGAAAATTTTTGAATTGACGCATGCGATATTGAAAAATAGGAGCATGTGGAGCAATCTGATTGGTGTAGAGAGGGAAGTGTATTCTGTTATTTTAGGGCTATTTCCTTGGCGCGTACTTTCTACACACTTGAAAGAGCGAAGAACGTCAATTGAAATTACATAACGATTATAAGACATTGAAGAGTTTGAGTTTGATGAAAACAAAAGTTTAACAATAAAAAGTAAGTAAAATAAAAGATTCTAATCACAGGAAAAAAAAAATTTTTATTTTTACTATGTTTCAGGAGCAGCAAGAGAATCATCGATAAAAGTGGAGTGTTAGAAAACCGAATCGTAATTGAACAAAGTATTAGTTTTAATGGTAGTTTTAGAAAACAAAATCGTATATGTCTTCCATTAATTTGAAAGCAGTCCAAAACATTCTTTTTCAGTGTACTTTCCAAAGGTAGGTTTAAGGTAGTTTTAGAATACCAAATTGTAACAATCTTCCAAATAAACATGTAAATTGAAATGTTTAATAATTCTGTTTTGTTTCAGATGCTGCAAGAGGATCATCAAAATATACTTCTCAGAGTACTTCTCAAAGACAGGTAAACTAAACTGACATGTTTAACGATTTTTTACTGTTTCAGAAGCAGCAAGAGGATCATCGATAAAAGTGGAGTTTTAGAAAATAAAATCGTAATTCTATTCCAATAATTTGGATACAGCATAAAAATTTCCCTTTCAGAGTACTTTTTAAAGGTAGGTAAGGAATACTGCAATGTTTAACATTATTTTTACTGTTTCAGGAGCAGCAAAGAGGATCATCGATAAAAGAGTAGTGTTAGAAAACCAAATCGTAATACCAATAATTTCTACATACACCATAAAAATTTTCGTTATTTCAGAGTACATTTCAAAGGTGGATAAACAAAAATACAATGTTTAATATAATTTTTACTATGTTTCAGGAGCAGCAAGAGAATCTTCGATAAAAGTGTAGTGTTAGAAAACCAAATCGTAATTGAGAAAAGTAATATTTTTAATGGTAGTTTTAGAAAACCAAATCGTATCTGTCTTCCATTAATTTGAAAGCAGTCCAAAAAATTCGTTTTCAGTGTACTTTCCAAAGATAGGTTTAAGGTTGTTTTAGAATACCAAATCGTATATATCTTCCAAATAATTTGGATAGCAGTGCAAAACTTTCTTTTTCAGTGTATTTTACAAAGGTAGGTTTAAGGTAGTCTTAGAATACCAAATCGTAGCTGCCTTTCAATAATTTCGAAGCAGCCAGAAAATATCCTTTTTAGTCTACTTTTCGAATGTATGTTAAAGGTAGTTTTAAAAAACCAAATCGTAGCTACCTTACAATAATTTGTAAACAGCACAAAATTTATATACATATATTAATTAAAATTTTAAGAATTAATTTAGTTACTATTGCATAACTTAATGTGCATGTTTTGCAGACGGAGCAAACCGACTTGCTTCCTACTGTGAATGTTTGTCAAAACACAGGGGGGTGTTCGAAGTTTCTGGTACATATAATTTTTCTCTAATCGCGAACATGTTAGTAGACATTTATCAATAATCAAATTTGCGTCAAAACAAGTCACGTTAAATCACTTTTTTTTTGTTTGTTAATTTTTGTTTCTTTAAACAATTAATTAATATTATTAATACAGGTTGAGAATCAAGAAACGAAATACCTCCAAAGTTCGTGTACGTCAAACGGAGGCGCTGAGTTCGCGATGCGCGGCAAATATAAAATCGTATGTATCATGGGCTGTAGAAACTTTTGCCGGAGAAAAAAAAAGTGGTGAACGAAGAAAAGAAAAATTTGAAAATGAGAGTAAAGACAGCAGGTATCGTTCACGATGTCAGTACACAAACTGGTGAATTTGGAACCGGTCCGGATTTACTACCCACGAGGATAACTTTTTCTCTAAACGCCCGGGATGTGGCTAACGCAGCCAAATCGCGCGTGCCCGAGCGAACGCTTTTAGCACATCCCGAGACGACTTCCTAATTATTTTGGCAGAACTATAGTCGTGCTCGCTACACTGCCAACTAGATTTCAGGGACTCGATCACAATCGCCACAAATTGCAAAGAAAAAAAGCTTCCTCAAAAGACTTAATTTATATACATTTATATATATAAAAGGAAAAAATTTTTTTTATTAATTGATTTACCAAGAATGACAATTTTCAAAGAAATTGTTTTGTACGTATATTTTAAAGTAAATTTATTTCGCAACAAATGATTAAAATTTTATTTTATATGAATAAAGCTGATACCATATTTTAAATGAAACTTCGAATTGCATTATGTCTTTCTGCATTCCTGGCACTGATTTCAAAAAACTTGTGTGAACCAAGTGCTTCCTACACTTCACGAGTCGCTTTGCCAAGTTACGTCATTGCCAAACGCACACAATCATTATTGCATCCGCGTCATTTTATGTCGTTATAATAAGTTACGAAGCAATTCGTCAACGTCATCAGAAATGCGCGAAAAAAAAATAAACACCCTGTGAAGAATTATTTATTTCATTTTTCTTTTTTTTTAAAGGAAGCGTAGAGGAATGCTGATTGCAAGTAAAGTCAAAATAGTTTCTTAAAAATTGCAACAAAAAAAAAAATAAATAAAAAAAATAATAATAATGAAAGCATAATAAAACTCTTCAGGGAGCCAAAATGTCTCTCAAGATTCCCAAAAAGAAAAAAATAGAGGAAAATAATTTTATCCTTCTCTTTCATATAAAAATGATCCCATAAAAATGAGTCAATTGCAAGTTCATTAAACTTTCTCAAAGGAAACGCAATTCTAAGAAGTAAAATGTTTTTAGTGTACTTGTACCAAAGAAGTTCGACGAAAAAATATTAATCGTAAACTTGAGAAAGTGTTTCGTGATGCAAAAAAAAGCGAGTAAGATAAATGATTTTAACGAAAAGTACGCAGTCACAAAATACTTCAGTGTGTCATAAGTTTTCTCTTTAATCATGCACCCTCAATGCAACCCAAAATTTATAGTGCTTTTAAAAGAATACTTCTTCAATATTTCCTCATATTTTCTTCTCAATCACCTGTTGTTTTTATTATTTTTACCATTTTATTATTATTATTATTAGTAGTAGTATTTCATTTTTATTATTATTATTATTATTATTATCTTATTTTTATTATTATTATTATTATTATTATTATTATTATTATCTTATTTTTATTATCTTATTTTTATTATCTTATTTTTATTATTATTATTATTATTATTATTATTATCACCATTTTTTAAAATTATTTTTATTATTATTGTACTTTTTATTAAAAGAAATGGTTTGCAAATATTGTATATTTAATTTTTTAATTCAAATAAATTTTTTGATTCTCAAAAAATTGTGAGATATTATTATTTAACACCAAAATGAATTAAAATAATCTGCAATGCTTCAATTCATCAAAGCATTGAAATAGAAGTATTATTTTTTCAAAATATTTTTCAAATGATTTGGTTTGGACTTAGACAAATTTTTTTAATGAAAAAAATTAATCCTTTTTTTTTAATTAATCTTTTTTTGGTGTTAATTTAGTAAGCTGCAACTTTTTTTAATGTCTCTTAGTTTACTGCGTGTATTATGAAATTAAAAATTACTTATTTTTATTTTTATTAATATATATTATTTATAACATAAAAGCAAAAGCTATTTTTAATTATATGAATACTATATAAAGATTTCATTGATCTTGTGCGTCGTATCTGGAAACAATCTTCTTATAACCCTTTAAGAAAATTTTCTATTTCTGTCTGATTATTTTACATAATTTTTAAAAATTCTTTAGATTTTCTAACATTCAAAATGAAAATAATAATTATTGAATAAAAAATAACATTGTTTTTAATATTATTAAAATAAAATATATTAAAAATATAAAAAAAAATGTTAAAATAAATAATATGTTTATACCTATGTAAATAAAAATAATATTGTTGAACAAATTTTTTATTTAAAATCATAATAATATGTGTAAAGATGTTGAATTTAAATAAAATTAATAAAATTTAAAGAAAATTTTTATATACATATAATTCATAAAATTGAATTTTTGTAAAATATTTTAGAATAAAAAATAATATTTTTAATATCATTAATTTTAAAAAAATTTGAAAAATCCTTTCTATCTTTTTTTCCGTTTAATTTTTTGGCTTTTTAGAAAAAAAATCTTCAATTTTAAACCAAGCGGTAAAAATAAAATTTTTGATTTTAAATATTACTTTTATTTTGAAATAAAGTATATCAAAGAAAAAATTTTTTTCTGAAATTTTAATTATGAAAAATATTTGCCTAGCTTTTGAAAATTATTAGAAATAACGTGAGAGAATATAATTGATTTAAAGATTTAATATAAAAATTTATGAAAAATTCAGTTGATATGCGTTTACACTCTGTTTCCAAATTTTTTTGCAAGTAAATGAAAAGAAACATTTTGAAAAATTTTTTTTTATAAATTTTTCTTTGTGTTAGGTACAAATATTATTTTTTAAAATATACTTTTTTTAAACAATGAATTTTAAAATATTCCTGTTCTTTCAAAATAATTTATAAAATACAGAAATTTAGGGTTATTTAAAAAAAAATATATAGTTCATAAATACTTAAAAAATGTGAAGAAATTTGAAGAAGTTATTCGATTTTATTATTATGATGATAGTATTTTAAAAGAATTGATTATAAAATTTAACTTTAATAATA